CAAACTAAATCTTTTAATCTCACCAGGGCCAAATGCCAAAGAACATAGCCAATGATTTTCCATTTTTTCTGAGTGAGAATGCTGTTTTGCCACTTTTAGCAATATTGCAACAATATCATGGTGGGTGACACCAGCAATAAGCTTCACACATTTGTACCCATGTCGCGAATCGAACTTGTGAACAACGTATGCCCACAGATCTCAGTTTAAGGAGGATATTTACAACTAAAATAACACAGAATATTTCAACAGCTATCTGATATGCACAGGCTAACATTAATAACCAGAAACAAGACATGAAGAAAAATTGCATCCGGATACTTTCCGAAATCCTTCCAGATACCTTCAGCAACCTTCAAATTTCTTGGTATTTTTTATGTGTTTCACACTTAAGTGAACAAAATGCACCCCCAAATTCTGACATTTTTTTGTGGAAGGTTTCCGGATGGTTTCCGGAAGGTATCCGGGCCGGATCCAAAATGGGAAGTATTAATAGAAACGGCCACAGCTTTAAGTTTGCCCTTGATTGGTGATGCGGCTGACCGCTTCTTGACTTATTCTTATAGCTGCTACGTGAGGTGAAATGGCGTTTAACGCCGCGTCCAAGATTATTGCGCTTCTATAGGGACTTGCAAGCACGTGTGTGTGTGTGTGTGTGTGTCTGTGTGTGTGTGTGTGTCTGTGTGTGTGTGTGTGTGTGGCTGCTTGTACTAGTTCAGAAAGAGGCCGATTTATAGTGCAAGCCCACTGAGATACCATGCCGCAGTGTAAGTTGAATACCCCACTCAGACACATTATACAGACTCTGAGCAGACTAGTCATTGTTCTAGCCCCTTAATGTCGATCGTCAGGCATGGTTACAACAAGTACCATCTTTTAACGCCTTCTGTTATGACGAGGTCGGGGATCGAACACCGGACCGTCAGCTCTCCGGGAGGACGCTCTACCACTAGACCACCGAGGGGGTCCATAGCTGCTACGTACCAGCAAGATACATAATAGTAGATAGACACTGCAACTAAGTCTACATATCAGCCAACGATAAACATTTGTCGGGAACCGTTGCGCCGGTAGCATTAGGCCTCTCCCCCAAATAGGTTTGTTTTGGAAGCCGATTACGGGGATTTAAACTTTCTACAAACATTATGATTTTTTTTCTCTTTGATTGATTTTTCGAGGAAAATCTGTATTCGCAACAAAATCGGTATAAATTTCTTTCTCTATTCTTGTCCTTTAAGGTAAAATTGGACGCGCAACACGACTCGCTGTAGATGTTAAGAAAGATCCAATTTGTGCGACATTTCAAACGGTGCAAAATTGTCAGAAAGGTGAGCTTACCGATGGCCACAGGTCGACTGTTGTGACGACGTATCCTGTTCCAGGTGTGTCCGCATGCTCCTCATCAGTAAGGCTTTCTAAGAAGATGCAATGTCGACTTTGGAGGCCAAAATAAACTCTCTTGCAATATTTGTGGATCTTACAACTGTGTACACACTCTATTAAATGGAGATTGGTATAGTCAACGGAAATACCTGAAATATTCAAAGATATTTGAGGAAACTGTCTGTATTGGCAAGCATTGCCATGTGTTGCCACAATACAGGTGAGTGCAGAAATGAAAGCAAGCAATGTTTGGCCCATCACCAGTGATTAACGGTTAAGTTTCCAAACACCTGACAGTTACAAGTCCAGTTTCAATGCTGGCTCAATACATCTAAGCCAAAGCCTCAACTGTATCAAGCCTGTTATTTATGTGACCTTTGAGAAAGCTTAATGTATTATGTATGTTATTGATTGGCAGCATATAGATACTCCAGCAAAGGAAACCATAAAATAGTATATTTTAGTTTTGAAGTGTTGTGGGTGTGGGATGTTGGTTCTTGTATTGTAATATGAAAGTTGTATGACATAAAGAAGTCAGTATCACAAGGTGAAAGTTTGTCACTCATCTTGTTTTGTTCCGGTTTAACGCTAGCAGTGGAAGAAAGGAGGACACCTTTCAAGGGTGGTAACTCTGGGTGAAACTAGTTCCGTCATCCCAGGACAATGAAAAAACTGGTTTCTATTTTTACTCCAGTGAAAATACTGGTTTTTATATTTATTACTGTGAAATATGACTTTTGATGAAAATAAGACTTTTGTTCTATAATTCCAACTGAAACTTGTTTTTAGACAGTGGCCTAACTATCATCTAGGCAAAAAGACAATTGTGTTCACACAGTGTCGATGATGACCTTTCGCGGTGATCAATCGCGGCACCGGATGATGTTATTGCTCTTTGTGAAAGGCAACCTACTCCAGTCTAAGCGGTCACTCGTCCCAGTGTCTAATCGTGCTAACGCTGGAACCCAGCAAATGAGGCATCATGTTTTTCAGGATCTGCCTTGTCTGTACATTGTTATATTTTATTTCGTTCCGAAATATAGTCAGATGTCCCACTTCGAGACAGTGATACAAAGCCATGTATGAATGCAGTTTGCAGGACACCTTCCTCCAGTTTGGTAAGTAATGTGCACGAACTTCTTCATCAGTAATGTTTTTTACGTTTTTCAGTCGCCCTCTAAATAAAGTAAACTGTCTCATATTCGGGAAAAGACCCGCAGTGGGAACTATTTCCCAGAAAATACTCGTATGTCTTTGCAAATTTTATCTAGAATGTTTCCTGAACACTTGCAAAAGACCTCAGCTATCACATGACTTTCGGTATCTGACTATTATTTTGACAATGACGACAGAAATCTGAGAAAAAAAACTGGTGTATCGTATATATATAATATTGCATGTATATATTTGTTTATTTTGTTACGGATTTAGCGTGTGTCTGTGTGCGTATGAGTGTGCGTGCGTGTGCGTGCGTGTGCGTCCGTGCATTTGCATCAGCAGAATTACTTAGGCAATCAAAGCAGGAACGTTTACTTTCGACAATAGGGGCAACACTTTATGTCCTTGGTTTCATGCAAAAAGCTTAAAATATCATAAAATGAACAAAACGGTCGAAATATGCATGAAATGTTCATTTTACCGACTGAAAACTATTGTCATGCATGTTTCTGTTATTAGACTGAAGAACGGGGTGTGTATTAAACGTTGAAAAACATATACTGATAAATGTATAATCAATCATCTCATTTATTAAATACGGTAAAGTGTGTTCTATTGATTGTGTTCATGTGCACAACTATATTGTTCATCTAAAAGATGGTATAAGTTAGGCAGTTTTGATAAGACAAGATAAAATATTACTCCGTATTTTATTGCTGAATTTGAATCCTGACAATTGCTCGTAAAAAGAATTACACGTTATGAAAAAAGATAAAAAGTGACCCGCGCAGTAATCATAGAATGGGATCAATAATTATGTTTAAAATCGTATACATATGAAATATGGAATATATATGCTATGTATCATTTTATACACATGTGAATGTATATGGTAGTGATGCCACCAAAGGGTTGACTATGATATCCATGCAGGAAATGACATATAAACCTTTGCAGACACAATCAACACAATCCATCTGGATCCTATTTGGGTTATAAAATGCATGACCATATGGGACCATATTAGAACCCTTGCGCAAATCCAAACGGGGCCTGAAAGGGCTACCCATTTAGGACCCACATTAAGCTCAAGTCGGGGCCTTGTGTAAAGGTAGGCGGGGATGTTGCTGATTACTTGTGATGATAAATATATCAGTGTTTACTATTGATGATATATACTGAGTCAAATTAAAAACTTCACATCTTTAAAAGTAATCCCATATATGATATACAACGGACATATGTATCAGAGAAGGTAATTTTTAATCATTAATGTCTAAAGAAGGATTTTAATTAACGGTGGTAACCATAATTTGTTCCAAGCACATACGGTATTCGGTAATAACATAAACAGTTTAAATCATAAGTCCCAAGCACGAGAATCTGATGGCACACAAGTTCAGTAGCGTGTATGGCCACCATGTGCGTTGACAACTGTCACTCAACGCCTCCGCATTGACCTTGTGATGCTTGTGAACACATGATTGGGAAGACGACGCCATTGTTGCTGAAAAATGGTGCCAAGATCTTGCAAATTCTTTGGTTGGTTCTGGAGAGTGCGCAGACTTCTGCCAAGAGCATCCCAGACGTGTTCGATTGGATTGAGGTCGGGAGACCTTGACGGCCAGTCCACGACGTTGACTCCCGCATTCTGAAGGAAATTCCGTGTCAAAATTGCTGTGTGGGGTCTGGCACTGTCGTGTTGGAAGATCAAACCGGGTCCATGTGCTGCCATAAAAGGCAGAAGTTCTGGTGCCAGTACCTGGTCGCGGTAAGCAGCAGCGGTGAGGTTGCCACGGATGACAAGAAGCCTGGAACGTGCATTGCCACAGAAAGCACCCCACACCATGAGACTTCCACCTCGAAATCTGTCAACTTCCTGTACACAACACTGGGCGTAACGTTCATGACGGCGCCTCCACAACCTTGCCCTACCATCAGCAAATTGAAGATTGAATCGGGATTTATCACTGAAGACGACTTGATTCCAATTCCTCTGAGTCCATCGTAAGTGTCGCTGTGACCACAATTGACGTTGACGTCTGTGTAATTGAGTCAGAATCGGCCCGCAGTATGGCCGTCGTGCTTGAAGGTGAGCAGTTCTCAGACGGTTTCGAACAGTTTGCGCACTCAGTCACCCCTAAACAGTTCATTTCTGGTTGATATAACCGTCAAAAATCGGTTACGGAGGTGACGTAAGATAATCTGACGATCCTCTGCATGTGACGTCACACGTGGTCGACCTGGCCGAGGGCGATCAGCGTTGGTACCCGTTTGCTGTAGACGCGTCTGTAAATCATAAACAGTCCGTCGACTACAACCCATCGTTCTTGCGACCTCAGCTACGGACGTTCCCGTCTGCAACATGCCGATGGCACGTTCACGTTGCACATTTGAAAGGCGTGGCATGACAAATGACCGTAAAGACTTTTGTTTTATTGTGTTTTTCTTTTTTTGTTAATGACTGCGGTATTATGGCCACGTGACCAGTTGCACGTGAAAAAACACTTTTGCCACTATAGTGCTGTGCATATGATTTTGATCGATTCACCTGCACAAAAACGGGTGTTATCTGAAGAAAATACGTGACCATTACTGTTTGAATACACAATAAGGGCCCACAATGATAACTGGTCAAAATGTTAAAATTTTAGGATTGTGAAGTTTTTAATTTGGTTCAGAATATATTATACACACACGCGCGCGCACGTACACATACAAACACACACAGAGAGACACACCCACACAAATATATACATGGCCCATAATTTATTACCACAATATCTAGTGCGCACTTGATTCATGTTCTTACCAAGAGGTCGTTTTACTTTCACTATCTAGTCATGCTATTGTAGCATATTTTTCCAGCTTGCTGTGTAAATGTCAAGGATATCACTGAAATATAATACGTGAAACAAACGTGAAAGCTTAAGAAGTGTGAGCATGATCGTGGAGAGATGTAAGCTATCACTTACTATTGATTGGTGAGTGTACTTGGTTGGCTTTGTTTCTTGTTTATATAAAATATTAGATGAATTATCCAGGAACGTAGACAATATCGTTAATGTCGTACGTACGCGACATTGTCGACGTAAACCATGATAATTATACCACACACGACATTGTCGACGTAAACCATGATAATTATACCACACACGACATTGTCGACGTAAACCATGATAATTATACCACACACGACATTGTCGACGTAAACCATGATAATTATACCACACACGACATTGTCGACGTAAACCATGATAATTATACCACACACGACATTGTCGACGTAAACCATGATAATTATACCACACACGACATTGTCGACGTAAACCATGATAATTATACCACACACGACAGTGTCGACGTACCTGGACAATCATAACACATGATCTCTCGAAAACGTGCTCGGCGTGACGAGCAATCGCCCCGGCCCTAGAGAAACCATGCTAATAAGCGGAGCTTTACTAAAACTAAAAGCAAAAAAGAAGCCGGTTCAGCAATGTATATATCAGGTCGATCAGTCAAGTCGGTACATTTTACGGTTTGTGGCTGACCACAGTGTCTGCTACATGTGACGGTGGAAGTCGCCCAGAAGTTACATACGTATCATAGTGGCACTATTGGAATTGGTTCTGTCTTGTTTGTCCCGCTTTCTGTTGTGTCTGATGTAGCCCTCGAGGGCACAGAGAGCAACTGCTATCCCACTGCAGACACCAGCAGTCACATAGAACAGCAGGTCGTAGTCACCGGTCAGATCTCTGAAGGAACCTGTAAAGGGAAAATACACATCTTTCTAACAACAGACTTACATTGCCAGTTTGTAATAAAACATAATTTAACATAATGTCTGCCTACACCAGTGTATGCCATTTCACATATTTATGTTCCATTTGTGAAAACATTGACTTGGACAGAAATCTCTGTCCCTGTATGGTAAAGATTGTAAATAAAAGTTGTGTTTGTGACATTTTATAGTTATTACATGCATACGACATAAATGTAATGCGTAGCTATATATGACATCATGTGTTGTGCTTACTCACCTCCTATTGGCCCACACACAATGTCAGCGATTCCACCTATTCCGAATGCATACGCCAATGCCGTAGAGTAGGAAGCTCGGCCAGTAATCTCAAGGACAGTCACGGGGAGTGCCACTGGTAAAATACCAAAGAAAATTCCCAGGAATGTTGCCAGTGTTACCATATAAGGATAGTCATTGACGTACACCAGTGCCAAGCTGAAACTACCACAAAACACAGCTGATACGGCTGTTGCTATGCACCCAGGTATGTGTGAAAATGAAATGATAAATCCCGCAATAAGATTCCCAGCAACATTTGCAATACTCATGGCAGAGAGTATGAATGATGAGCTCTGTAGGCTGTGGCCTCTAGATGTTCCAATGTCTACAATCAGAATATTTTCCCCTAAAATGAAAACCCATAGGGGGAATGTACACATCAGATATAAGACGAAAGCTAGGTTCTTGAACAGATGAAGATGCAACGATTTAACAAAGGACACGTTGGTCGTTTTTGCTGATGTGTGGAAGACTTTGTCAGATAAAGATCTGATGATGAATCCAAGGACACAGAGATTGAAGACGATGGCACCCAGAAGCAGGAAGGCTCCTCTCCATCCATATATCTCAAGCATCCAAGCATTAAGTATTGGGGAAAAGAACCCCCCAAGTCCATTCCCAGCGGTGAGAAGGGAAACACCCAGCCCTTTCCTGGTAGTAAGGACAGCATCAACAGTTATATACGAGGCAAGATGTGCGAAGCTCAGTCCAATTCCTGGAGGAGTAAAAACACAAGGAACGTCAAAATGGTATATAGCAATGTAGACTGTAGTGAACATATTTACAGTTCCTTACATTTTAAGAGAATGTACATGGTTTCATTTTTGGTTAAAGCTTTGTCTATGGTAATATACATGGCCGAAATGAGAATTGATATAATATCTCCGAATCATTACTCACACATGATTAATGTTTGATGCTTATAGTTTGTCACTGATTAGTTTGACGGAATACGACATATTAAACTGACGGATGATGTATTTTGTAAACAGGTTGGGGTTCCTGAAATATATGAGTCGCTCCAGGTCAACAACAAAAGTGCAGGATGACTACTCAGGCTTTCCGAATTCGACAAATAAAAGTTCCCCGGCCTTTCCCTCAAATTATCATTGGGACATCGTGGATACACAATGCCTTTTCAGAAAGTGATCAAATGTTACATTTGTGATTAGGCGCCTCCCTCTGAGAGTGTGGGTTCAAATCTCGGATCGGATGCATCCCCCAAAAGTACTGAATGAACTCAACCCAAAACAGTACTAAAATTTATACTTTACTTTGGAGACTGATTCGGCCCATGCCACGCCGTATAAACGAAGTTTGGCTTATCGTAGGGGTATTACAATTATCATGTCATCTTAAACGTTCATTTGGTGTTTCTCTTCACATCCCTTTCGTCTTTCTTCGTATCACCTAGTAACACCTAGTCGTTCTGATTCTTATGCATAAACATGTTCCCGAGGCAATGGTGTTAACTGACAAGAGGCCAGTTTCCACCCTTGCCGAACTGGGCTGGAATTTCCGAGTTACATTTCGGCTGTCCTAACGAGTCTATGCTGGGTCCAATCATAAATCACGTAATGAATTCGAAAACAACATGGCGACTGCCAACCATTTAAGCATGTGTACTCTCAACTGGGCGCCGACAGATACTCTTCAAATCCTTTTGTAATTAACGTGCACACGTGATTTGATGCACTTCGCGAGACCCTTTTTACTACAATGTGGATCTTGATTATCGATCAGATCATCTGATTTGGCGCCGTTATTTTGTTTGAAGTAAATGCAAGCGACATGAGAGTTGAAATCTGATTAGTCAAGAGGAAGGACATAGAAGGGACATAACTCGAAATAGCCACTGGTGGCGCTGCGATCAAGCCACGACTTTTCCCTTTTTGTATTTCTGTTATCATCCGTTATTTGATATTCCCTATGTCTTTTGGAGGGTAAATTCAGCCACTTCATCAGCTGATTGTTTGTTGTCATGTGATGTGATGAGTAGGGTGCTATTTAGTTTATGGGTTTGACCGCGTTATTTACCTGCCACAAATCCGATCGAGAAAATGATAATATCCATGTTTGGGGCAAAAGATCCACCAATGCATCCTGTCAGTGTTATTGCCCCTCCCAAAATGATAGCATTTCCGGGCTTAATCTTCTGAACAATTGGACTGGTAACAAAAGCTGAAAATAATTAAATATGTAAGATTAGAAAAACTGTGTTTATTTATATATATATATTATATATTATTATTTCGCCCGTATGAAGTTGTTGATTTATGTTTAGGAGATAAGCTTCTATTTAAATATGTCAATGTCTTAGAATGTGGCAAGCTTGCACGTTATTTAGCATCGCATGATGAAGTGGAAACAAAACTCTCGCCATCAGTTTGTCATGGTCCTTTACTATATTCAACACGACAACAATATAACGGCGTCGATCAACTTACACCCAGTTAATAAGATACCAACACACAATGACAACATCAGTGAAGTCACAGCCCTGCTGGTCTGAAATATTTCCAGTATTGGTACAAAAAGAACTCCCAAACCAAGAGCGAATCCAAGAGACAGGAAGTTGACGAGGAAACACGTGATCAGCACCACCGCCTTGGTTCCAGTATCTACTCCTGTTGGACTTGATCTTTAAAGGTAAAAATCAAGCTGTCGAACAATGGTTATGTGTTTAGTTCCTAGAGTAAGCGCATGCTAGGTTAACCCAGAACACGATACGTAGCGAACGAAATTTGGCAAATCCGCCGAACATAAGGTGTATTGAAAATGCCACACTATACAATCGATACCTATCAATGATAATGTACTATGTAATTTCAACATGTTTAATTTGTTTCCAGTCATCTGAGGATTAACTTCAGCCAATGATGACAGTGTTGTTAAATATGTTGTTAAGGTTTATATAGCCATGAAGGCATGTTTAACAAGAGGCACTTGTATTATTTTATTGTAGCGTTCAAAAAGTGGATATTTGCGTCACAGTTATTCCTTATTCATTCACTATGAATAGATAAAGCTCATCCGGAGTAAGTCATTTCCCAGCATGTTTGGAATCCACTATGTCATATACTTATGATTAAGAGAAAGGTGTTCCACAAGGTACCATACAGAAATTCATAGTTTATCGAAAGTATAAAATGACTTTGTTGACTTTGTTTGTGGATTCTTTAAATTTAAATCTTGCCGAGGTAAAAATATGTGCACTATTGCAGCTTATCCTTATGAAATAGATGTTTGTTCACAATGTAACAGTTTTGAATTTTCCAAAAAAAACACCCCAAAAAACAAATTGCATTCACACCTAAATATAAACAACATATCGATCCAGAACTTTATGCTGCAGAACTCCAATTGAGGTAGTTCAGCGAGCCAAGTTCTTGGGTAAAATCTATAACCATCACCTAACGTTTGTGCAGCACATGAAATGTAACACAAAGTGTGTCCATGCACAAGTAAAAATATTCAACGAACTTATCTGTCTTGGATTCATCTGTTGGACTTCTGGCAGACTCATCCATTCTTGAGACGTCTTCCATTGCAGTAGTCGTGTGTCCTGAAACTACAACTCATTAAGTTTGGCTCCTAGAGATGATTTACAACTATCCAGTTATTGTCAAGCTGAGTCTGGGATGAGGATATTGCACCCAAACATTGATATGGTGTACAATGTAACAACATTTGGATTTTAAGTTACCAAAGAGAGATATTTTATGACGCATAAGGCTTTTCCGCTTTCATTTACGAATGTAATTCTTATATATGATAATTATCTTAATCAATTAAACTTACAGAGATTGTAATAAACTTCTAACATAATCAGCTTTTCAAGCAAATTTGGTATTGAGTTTTATGTGAAAGGTTACATGCCCCTTCTCATAGAATGGCATTGGCACGTCTCTCCTATAAGAGTTGAAACTTGACGATATGATAGGTCTCCTTTACCTGAGAAATATGTTCCCGTACTTTTTCACGGTGTACTACTGACTTGCATGTGATTGTGACGAATGTCTCCGATGGGTCAGGATATGCCCCCCTTTTCGCGAACATCTGGTATCATCACAATTTGATAGTGATTCATAAACGCGTGGTCATGATTTAGTCGAATCACACAATGGACCCTGGTTTTAGTTGAGATTTCTGATGAAAATGGAATAATTTTGTCACTGGTATTGTTCAGTTATTAATCATTTAAAAAGAAATAGTTGTGCTGATGCATGGTTTGGCAGATGTCTTCCCCAGTTAACATATATGCCTTATGTGTGACATTATTGGATGTGTCACTTATACCACGTTCTTTGATAAAACAATTCATGTAGTGATGCTTACATATATTCCAAATGAATGGTATCTTCTGGCCTTGGTCCTTTCTTGTGACCATGGCTGAACCTGCGTTGACGTTGAAGTCAAATGTTTTTCATAATATATTGTTTGAATATAGCCTTTTCAGAGAATGTAAAGCCTGTAGAAAAGAGGGGAAAGTTGGGTATGATGGTTGGGTGTAGATGCATGACAGCATGTATGCCAACGGTAATTTTGGTACAGAAGATGTGTAACATTTCGCTTTCACTTGTTCATTCTATGATAATTTAAGGTTAAAATGTTTACCATGTGCATATTGCCAAATATGTACAAATTTATGTTTAATGTCAAACCAAATAAAATACTATTGAGAAAGAAATTTCTGTACAAATATAAGGCATGTATATAAACAATGAGAAGGTTTTGTTACACTGGTCATAACCACTTTGCGTAGTGAGGTAATGTTTTAAATGTACATGTTTCTATCACCGTGTATTAGCATATGGTCTATATACTGAATACCATACATACTATTGCGTACGAATGTAACTCTAACTGAGGGGATCTTTTTAGCTTCTATTTCAAATACTTTATACTCTTATATTGATCCCTTGATTATATTTTACATGTTTCCATTAAATTAATATGTACATTTATGTATTCACACATTTACATGAATTAACAAGAACGAAAAACAAACCACTTATATGTCGTTCTCAATATTCAGATTCAGTTAGTGCTGAATAAATTACACCCGAGGCATTTCGAGTCTACTATTTCAGTCTCAAATACAGGACTAGAATTCAGAAAGATAACAGAGAGGATAACTATACTTGTTTCCATCTTCCCGATTTAGTTGCAAGATAAAGTTGTAACATCTAAACCCCAACAGAGTTCTTAGGTGGGAGTATTTCAGAGATAAAAGAATAAGTTCTTGGGCTACATTGCCTTTAATACGTTCATATCGAACAGGCACTGTTTCGCTTAATCAGAAAATCAAACCTGTTGGTGAATATCTGCTAGTAACAATCAGAATCTATCTGAACTAGATGCTTCCTGTTTTGTCAGATGACTTCATGACTTAGTTTGATGCCATTGCAAGAATTGTGCACCTGTGGTCCATTGCTGTCATCTGTGATGAAAAGTGGATGTAGCATCTTCTCAGGATGTTGGCTACTGTCATGTCTCTGACACTGAGGGCATAGATGTGTCTGTCATGGTAATGCTGTCCATTAAATATGTATGTCTTAGTTAGTTAGCAATTACCCCGAGTAAATAAATTAAATACATATTCAAAATAAATGCCTCTCCAACAAGAACTTGGATGAGGCAGAACTTGACCTAAATCGCGGTCACTCGTCACTCGCTGTCAATGTTGTTATTGATAGTCTTTGTGCATCTGAAACAAGGTGACAACTCGTATCTGTGATGTGGTTCAACATTAATTAACCTTGTACAACGTGATTGCCAATGAAACAGTGTTGCATGGAAAAGGAGGGGATGGCCGACATATATTTAGAAAACCACTGTGTCATGTTGTGTATTGTCCAGCGATATGGGTGAATAACTACCCCCAGGGACATCACGAGTCACAAGCCATATCTATCCTGATACCTGGACAATGGGCGGTAAGAGGTTAAACACCTTGTTTCCAGAGCAGCAGCAAAACTTACAACGTTCACTTAACATGGTCAAGTAGTTTATACACTACTTGAAATATTTCTACATTTAACTATGCAAAGAAAGAGTATGGTGTTTTCTCTGTAAGGGTCGGACACATGACCTTGCTGAGCAGGGTTTAACTGACGACGCACGCCAGGATAAAGGTTGGCGTATTCTCTCACGTCAGAATGGTTGTCCGAACCTCTGCCTCCTGTACTAGCATTTTGACTTTTTGTCATTTCCTTGTAATTCTGTAACAATAAAAGTCTTCGTCTCTCGAAGTGAAATGGTTCTCTGATGTTCATTTTCTCTATGTGAATCAAGAGCGATTTTCTCAAATGAGAACTTTTGGTGCCGTGACCCGTATGCCCCAAATTGGATGAAAAGGGGCTTAGGAGGCCAGGTTGACATCGGAATCAGATCGAGCCACTGGGTGAGTGATCCTTGCTTGGTCTTAAAACCTTTTTCACACAATGGCTAGTCAGGAGTGGCTCTCCGGATTAACAGGACAGTTAGCAGGGCATCTGGCAAGTTTGTCAACGACGATAGGCGCGCAATGGATAGCCCAGATAATACGTCCATTTGAAGGGGATCTAGGAAAATGTCAGGTGTTGTCAAAGACTGTATTATGTTTGATCCAGATAAGATAAAACTATTTGTTCAAACATGTCCAGAGATATGCTTAAGTATATACCGGCATATTAAGGCTCAATGGCAGGTGATAAAATACTGAAAGGCAATTTTGTTCAATAGGATAAACAAATAATAGTGATGAGCGCAACCCTAAAACGGTCGAACAACGTTCATGTGAAGAATAGGGACACTGGCAACTTATGAATGCTAGGACATGCAACGTATTCCAGTATAGTCAGGGATTGTAGTTACCTAATGAAATTCAGTGTTGTTTTCTTTGCTACGAATCTTAGGGAGCTGTTTTATTTAAAATATTGTATAATAAGCAAACAAACAAACAAAATATAACTGGTTGATAAATGGGATGGAAAGTATAAACAGAATAAACACTAGCTCCAATGTCGACGGTATAAGAAAAAGAGAGAGACAACTTAAATGCAAAAACGTGAATGCAATTTTGTTATCAATGATCTGTACTTGATCGCGGGCAGCGTCAAGGCGTACTGACATAGTTACGGTGATGATCAGTATTCCTTCGCGGATAGGGACGAGAGCGTACTGACTGATAACGGGATGCTCAGTCCAGTAGCGACAACAGTAAGAGAGAATTTAATGATTCCTTTAAAAAAGATTGCAAATAGATATCCAGGGAGAGTTCGGGTTCAGAAGAAGAAGATCATATTCATCTGGAGGAGCTGGCCAAACGAATCAGAGCTAGGGACGACAGTAGACAATGTGGTGACCATAGGCAGTGAAACGGATTCCCCAACAGAAACCAATGAACAGTTAAAACGCCAGGATGATATTTCATCTGACATGGACATTAACAATAGGTCAACTGTGAAGAGACCGATACGGACAACATGACTTACATCCAGTGGAGAGGAAATCTGAGATTAAGCAGAAACAAAGAAACACAAATGATAAGAGATTGCTTGAAGCAGAAGTTGGCTTATTATAGGCTTCATTAGTGTACATAACACGTATGACTTAAGATGAGGTTCATTATTATTCTGATTATTTTGGTGTATATATGACTATTACGTCTGATGTGTTTCAGACAAAATATGAGGCTAATACTACCCCTTCCTGTTACCTGGCATAGCCAGTGGTGTAATAGTACATGAAAACGATATTTTCCGGAAATTAAATATAACCACTACCAGGTCCAGGTGGCTTGTTACTTTTGTAAAAGATTTGAAACCATACCAGGATTTCGTGAACAAATGTACAACCAACATAGCAGAAGTTTCTCTAGCAATAAGGAAATTAATAAGTCAGTTTTATTCCGCAGTGGATAATGGAATGATGAGCATGTTTCTCAAATGAGACGATGAGACAATAGGTTTAAATAGAACGAGTAAAATACTTCGCAGAATACTGGAACTTGCAATCTAAACACAAACGATTTATTTTACCGTTTGTTTGGGGAGGCTCTGAGTTTCCTTTTAGGTATTGTTCCTGATACTGATTTAGAACCCATTAAACGAAATATTCGCAACTAAGTAAAGAACCAAGAAGATATAGCACATGTGGTAACTTCAGGTCTTTCTATACTGATTACATCTCGAGTGCAGATCTCAGAGAACAGACATGTATTAAAGAGATAGTTCATGATCACACCATTGATGAGAAAAAGACTAATGGCTCTGGAGCTAAAGAGAGTAGAGTCATCAAACTGGAACAAGCAATAAAAATATATTTTCAACTTGAACTGGTTTTGGAAGAAGTAAGAGACGTGTTGCAAACTTTGACATCTTATTTGAAACACTTACAACTACAACTGAATATGTAATGGTTGGGTCATCTGTCTCCCAGCACCATAACACCAAGCAATATCAGAATATTATTAAGAGACATTAAAGTTCACTTACCAGCTCGTTTCAAGTTAATCCAGACACTGATTTGTGGTACTGTTGTCGCTTACTGACCCGTACCACAAC